GACAGATGGCCGCTGAATTGTCCTGTTCTTCCTCCTGCCAGCTTACCTGCGTGGCTTCTGGCTTCCCAGAAATCTACAGAAAGGAAACAGAGAGTAGTGTTTGGTGAATCTATTGGGCAGTTAGGTACTTGTCACCCTGCAGTATTTCTGTCAACTGATGTGCAATTATTGTCATTCCTGGGATTCTGCCCCAGGACTGACTTCACTTAGTGCACCATTATATACAGCAATAAAATAGAACTCTTAAACCACTTACCCAGCTCAGCTTTGAGTCGCTCTGAAAGGGAAAGATGTTCTAATTATTAACACTTATTTTATGAGGTTCTTTTCAACGTCGGACAACTCCAAACAATAGAAGATCAAGCAATGCCGTAAGTCAGTAAGAGAATTTTTTTTAATTTTGTGATTTAAATTTTTGAGACTTCGTTGCAAGGTGAGGGATACAAACTGGCCCTCTAGAGAAGGTCTGCATTTGTTTACATTTAGTAAGCATTTTAGAAGACATTAAGTCAGCCAGTTGGGCTGTGTGCCAGAAATTAATTTCTTGGCTGTCATCACGATACAGGTGGATTTGATTTGTAAGGAGAAAACATATGATGCGACATAGGTGTCTGTAGCTTTTTATGGATTTTAGGTAAATAAAACTTCCAGTGAGGAGGATTATTGATAGTCCAGAGAGGTCTTACAACGAACCATGTGAGAAATCTGTTGCAGGAACCTCACTGTGAGGAGATACTTACATTGGCTTCACCCTCCTGGATGAGATAGGCTCATCAGAATACTTGATTTATTTTTTATGTGGTTCATAAAAATGTGAGATTTATACAAGATGTTTCCTTACCAAGGAGTTGTGTTTTTTCAGATATTGCTGTAAAAGAATAACTTTAATAAGTGAAATGAAAACTGGAGGAGATAACTATTAGAGAAGTGAGATCTGAAGGAAATAATTCTATTGCTGTGCAAATACTGAAATGATGTTTTCTGTTAGAATTTGCCATAGGAAAATTTGTCAACTTACATTCATAAAAGCATATGTTGTGGATAAAAATCAATACTGATGGCACTGATAGTATCCTCCTTATTGTGGCATAAGTTGTCTAATGTTATTTGTCTGCTGTGCACTCATAGGCACAAGCTGTCAAATGTTATCTGAGATGCCCTAAAGTCTCCTGCCTGGCATTCAGGAGGCCTACTCATCCAAAAGAAGTTGACTTCCAGGAGGGTCTCCGCTGGATGTGTCCTCTCCAGGAAGGTATCTCAGTTGAGGGATGAAGCAGGAGGTGATGGGGAAGCCGGACCTGGCATTTTCCTTAGTACTTATTTTGTATGTAGTTAAACATCCAAGCCAATATTTCTCAGGACGCAGCGTGTGAGCCGTACATTTTTGGCTTCGTGATTTGAGTTACAGCTGTTTGAATAATTTGACCCGAAAGTGCAAAAGAACGGGAGCAGTAGGTCAGAGCTTCAAGAAATCTCAGTACAGTCAGCAAGACTGCAGGCAGGCAGAGAGATTACACAGAAGCAGAAAAGTATCGCAAGCCTCTTAGAAGTAGAGCCACACTGAATAATATTTTTTAGCAGTGACTAAAAATGAAATAGAAGCAAGAATCATTTGAAGCAAGGCAAGCTGCTATGCTTTTTTTGTGAAGTAGTTCACTTTCGTTCTCTCATATATAGCTACTTGTCAGAGTTGATTAACATTGTCTTAATTGTAGAACTATATTTACCTCCTTCTTTTGTATTCTTCTGTGATTCTAAGTTGATCAACAAACAAAACAAAAAAAGGAAGGAAAAAAACACATTACTGGCTGGCTGGTTTGTTTAATTTAGAAGTTAAAAATGATGAGATGAGCTTTTAAATTATTTCATGGTTGTCAATTACTAAAGCTCTAACAAGTGATTGGAAAATGGATCATTTTTAAATTTTTAATCAAACTCGAAAACAGGTCATGAAAACATTTGTTAAAGGGAACAGACACAACCAGAAGTGTGTGGGTGTAGGTAAAAATCTACATCTCATTTGCTCTTTTGGGGGTGTAAATAGTATGCACCCTAGAAGTACTGAAAGGAACAGGAAAACTGTATTCTTACTTAGCTCTTCCTTCAAATCTTCTTTCTCTGAAAGAAATGACACATGATTATTCATGTATAAGTTTCAGTATCAGATTTTAAAAGTTTAATGACAATGTTTTCTTGAAGACTTTCATTTTCTTTTTCTTCAATAATGTATTAACCTGGGACTACCCCTGAGCAACTTAATCTATTTGGCGATGTAAAGTCGAGTTCCGTGGAGACTTATGAAACCAAATAAACAATCAAATTAGCATACAAATATGGAGGAGATGTTAAATGGCTAGAGAGATGAGATGACCTTCCTCTGACCTCTTGTAGCTATCTACAAGATGAATGCCTCGTATCTCATGTAGTTGTTTCGTAAGTTCCTTACAGTCAATGGAGGAAGTCCATCCCCCACCTCCCATCTTCTTCCCAATAATCGCTTTCTCAAACAGGTTGAATCTGATCTCTCTCTGAAGGTTCCTATTTCGCTTAGCCGACTACAAAAACAAGACCCTCAGGAAGACCCCGAGACTTCTATTCTTTTAGAAACCTAAATAAATTGGATCTCACTGGTAAACTGAAAGGCCAAAATGAGAAAACTGAGCTCCTCTAGACTATGTCTTGTTTACTGTTATCATTATTTGACAAGAAAAATATCCTGACGACACACAGAATTTGCAGAAATTGCAGCTTATTGTTACTTATTTTGTGAGGCTAGATTGTCTGAATGAGAGGATCAGAGTCAAAGCCATGGGGTGCAATACAGCAGTGAATAGATCAAGGCTGGTGATTTAATTTTCTTTTTCTCTAATAATCTTGGGAATTATGAGCAGGTTAAAACAGAGGAGGCAAAAGATCAGAATACATGGTTTGCTGTGATCCAGTCGTGCAAAATGGAGCATAAACCTGGCATAGAACAGTGGATTTTCAGAGCAATCACAGCATCAATAAGGTTATACTTCTAGATATTAGTGCAAGCACACTAGATCACGGTGTATCAGTCTGTTCACCATCTTGCAAGCATCAGAGGATTACCCTGAGTGATTTACTCTATTTCAGGAGGGGTCAATGCTCTCTAATTCTATAGGACAATGTGACTAATTGTCAGCGAATCCTTCATGCTGATAAGGACTGCTGCTTTTGCGATTCATGTCCAAAAAATCAAAATACCCTAGAACACTGTCTTTGATCTTATGTTTTCAAGACATCCTAACAGTTTTCAGTGGGCATTTACCTGTTACCATGCTATTCCTCAATCTTACTGGAAAACAAAAACAAAAATTGCAATATTAATCATTCAGTATCTCAACATAACAAAAATTGAATTATACCAGTCAAAATATCGGGAATGCTAGTTGAAAGTTCTGTAGAAAAACTAAGACATTTTAACAGAGGGTTATTTCAATACCAAAAGACCTTAAAAATACCAGAAGAAAAAAATTGCTGCTGGAACAGCAACAATTTACTGAAGAAGCACCTCTGTAACCTCACATCTGGAGAAATGCATGAGGCAAGGACAACTTCCACATGCAAGTAGGTAGGCAGATAAAAGAAGTTTGTATTGGATTCATCAGCTGATGTTGACGTTTCAGTATACGCATATAGGTTTTTTTACTCTTGTCTTGAGGAACAGCTGAGTGAGCTCTGGAGCAATAGAAGCCATCGACTGTATTTTGTATTGGAGTCTATACAGTCTATTTAACCTTCCTAACCCCAATTTGTCTGTGTTGACAATGAGATCTGCCTATGAGTGAAAGAAGAAAAGCTCCCTGCTTAAGCAGCAGTGGCAGTACTGAGCAGTGTCCAAATACCCCCACTTCACCTTGCTGCTCTGAAAAATACTTAAATATTGATCGTGTCTGCATTATTATCACAGCTACAAAGCTGCTTCTGAGACTGTTGCTGGCTCAGAGGCATAAATTTTTCTCCTAAAGTACATTCATATGGGTTTATATCCAGTTGCTTCACTACTCACCTGCTTTACGGGATTGTGTAAAACTACCTGGGAAAACAAAGAAACTTTTTTTAAAAAAATATTTTTTAAGCAAGATATCTCTTGAGATTATTGAAGTACAATTTCAACCTTTCTCATTTTAAAATGGGGAATCTTTCAAAAATGCACTGTTCCAAAAGCTAAAGTCATATTTGGTACCTGTAAATATCTGTGATCATACAAAATGACATCTCATAGTAGTAACCTCCCTGTAAAATATTCTCTGTGCATTCACACACATACAGGCCCCACCCATACTCTACTTTTAAGTAGACATCTGCTCATGTTTTCTCTCTCCTTCTCATTCCCATACGTGTCTTTCTGAATCTGATGTTAAAATGTTATTTAAGTTTTCATTAACTGTGTTTTGCATTGTAGATGAGCACTTCCATATCAGCTGTTGTAGGTGGAAATACTTACGGTTGAGTTTATGACCTATAGCAGCAATAACAGCTATGTTAAGAAATAAAACCACAAGGAAGGCTGCCATCCAAGGTGAAGTAGAAGGAAAGAAGACATCTGTAAAACATAAATGATGTTACTTGCACTGAATGTTTGTGAAATAGCTATGACAGACTCCAGTGGCCGAAGCATATGCGTCTGGTGCCATTTTGTTTGCTGGAACGTATCCTTTGCAATCTCCTTCTGCCACCACTAAAGGTTGCAGGTCTCCCCTGAAATCCAAAGCATCCATGTTTTAGCTGCTCTGCCGGCTATTCCAGGCCATCAGAGACAGTATTAGATGCCTGTGTGCAGGCAGTCAAACTGTGCTCCTGCACTGCACAGACCCATTCTCATTCAGACTCGGACTGCCACGGGTAGAGGCATGTTTGGAGAAGCTACCTCTTTATGAGGGAGATGTGCTGAGCAGTCCATCTCTGACACCAGTATTCACACTGATGAACCACAAGATGAAGTCTTCAGCAAAGCAGAACTGTCTTCAGTGGCATTTCAGATGGAAAAATCTTCCCCTTTTGAAATGAAATTGCCTGCTTTTGAAGACTAGAATCTAGAATCCATCTAGAGGGAGGCACAGGCTGAAGCTCAGTGTAACCACGGTGGTGTGACGGAGAGAGAAGGGGATGGGAGCAGACATTCAGCATTTCCTATCGGTATACTCCAGCTGTCTCAGATCATTGTGCTGGGTATCCTGGCTGCATTGTAGGGCCCTTGTCCTCCCCATTGGCACTTCTAAACCCTTCCCTCTCCAAGCTGGCACAGTGCTCTCAGGGGGCAGCTAACAAGAACTCTGCATTAGTATTTATAGCGAAGACGTATCTTGAATGTAACAAGTAATCTAAGACATAAAGATGGACTTCTTATCATGTCATCCATCTAAACACTAGTTGTTTGTGCTTGGGCTGGGTGTCCAGGATCACTCCAGCATCAATGGAGAGACAACAGACAGCAGCCTACCAACTGGTTCTGACAGCAATGGATCCTGGCAGTCACTCACCTGAAATCAGGACTCGGGATTCACACACTGCGTTGAGTAGGTTATTGACTACTCTGCAGGAGACTTCCTTGTCAGATCCTGGTTCAAGACTCATGGAACTTACAACATCAAAAACACCTGAAGAAGTCTTTGTGCTTTGGGTGGTCACTTTCTCCTCCCGTGTCTGTCCTTTGCTGTTCAGCCAAATGACTGTGGGCTCTGGAAACCATCCCTGTGACTTGCAGGTGAGGCCAATTCCTTGCCCCACATGACCATCCAGGAAAATGGAAGACTCATCACCTTTAGCTATAGAACAGCAAACAAACAAGCTCCAACAAACAGAAGACAAAATATTCTCTCAGCAAACAGTACACAGTGGGAAGGTCTTCCCTGGATTTATCTATAAACACAGTGTGTAAATTCATCAGATTTGAAATTTTAGTTCTCCTGAAACTGCTGGTAAACAGCTATTCCTGTGTGTCCTGGGTTTGGCTGGGATAGAGTTAATTTTCTTCCTAGCAGCTGGTACAGTGCCATGTTTTTGATTTCGGATGAGAATAATGTTGATAACACACTGATGTTTTAGTTGTTGCTGGGGAGTGCTTACACTAAGTCCAGGACTTTTCAGCTTCTCATGCTGCCCTGCCAGCAAGGAGGCTGGGGGACACAAGAAGCTGGGCAGGGACACAGCCAGGGCAGCTGACCCAAACAGGCCAAGGGGATATTCCGTACCGTATGACATCATACTCAGTACATAAACCAGGGGAGAAAGCTGGCTGGGTGGTTGCTGCTCAGAAACAGGCTGAGCATTGCTTGGTTGGTGTTGAGTAATTGTTTTTGATTTGCATCACTTGTTTTTCTTGGGTTTTATTTCTCTCTCTTTTTATTATTTTCCTTTTCATTACAATTTAGTCTTCTTATTCTTATTCTTGCTCTTATTCTTCTCATTATATTTTTTTTCAATTATTAAACTGCTCTTATCTCAGCCCATGAGTTTTCTTACTTTTAACCTTCAGATTCTCTCTCCCATCCCACTGTGGCTTTGGAATTGAACATAAGGCTGTGTGGTGCCTAGTTGCCAGCTGGGGTTAAACCACTACACAGTGTTACATTAAAATGGGACATTTGTACGTAATGTCCCTTCTACAGTCTTGATAGAAACAGATCTTTGGAGTGATTTTTGTTATCTCCACAAACAAATGGAAATAAAATAAAGTAGCATTGCACTGACTGGAAATCTGCTGGTAAAAGAAAGCTGGATGACACCATGAACAGATGAAAATAGGAATATTGGACAGAAAATGAAATGATGTATAGGGCAAGAACATGAGAAACAGGTTGCAGTACTAAATGCAGTTTCACTTAGGCTTCAGTTACTTCACCTCTGCAAAACCAGGCTTGTTTTACCATAGGATTCATCTCTCTCCTCCATTTAGATGTTTTAAAGCTAAGGTGTTGCCTATGCTCCCTCTGTAAAACAGGATAAAAATATATCCATGACTGTTCAGAGTCTACTGGCAATAGAGGTAGCTGAACCTATAGCAGAGGATGGTCTTTCACATGGCTAAGGGCAAGTGAGATGAATCCAGCCCATTGGTACCCTCTAGAGATTTCTGACATTGTACAACTGGATGGAGGAAGAAGTAGAAAAATGGATGCCATTGCACTCACCTGCCACATCCAGGTCAACCACCACTTCATCATACCAATTCTCAAAAAAGACACTGCAGGTGTATTTCCCTTTGTCCGAGAGCATGACATTTTTCAGGTGAAGAGACACATTTCCCTTATTAAATTCAGACTGAAAAAAATTAGTCCTGCCCTGGTATATCTTGTCCTCATGAACTGGATTGTGTGTGTTTTTTCCATCATAAGTGGTCACATCAATTTTTCTGGAGTTTTCAGTAAACATCCACTGAACGGAAAGTCTCTCAGGGATTATCTTAACTTTCAGTTGACATGGAAGGATGACTCCTTTTCCAATGATTCCAATGACAGGCTTGTCAGGAGGAATAATTTTATACTGGCCTGTTAGAAGATATAGACATAAATCTTATCTGTCATAGAATCATAGAATCACAGAGTCATTGAATCATAGAATAGTTTGGGTAGGAAGGGACATTTAAAGGTCGTCTAGTCCAAACCCCTGCCATGAACAGCAAGACCTTCAACCAGATCAGGTTGCTCAGAGCCTCATCCAACCTGACCTTGAGTGTTTCCAGGGATGGGGCATCTACCACCTCTCTGGGCAACCTGTTCCGGTGTTTCAGCACCCTCATCGTAAAAAAATTGTTCCGTATATCTAGTCTGAATTGAACTTCTTGTAGTTTGAAATCATTACCCCTTGTCCTATTGCTATGACCTTCCTAAAATGTCTGCCCTGTCTTTCTTATAAGCTCCCTTTAAGTACTGAAAGGCCACAAGAAGGTCTCTCTGTACCCTTCTCTTCTGCAGGCTGAACAACCCCAACTCTCTAAGCCTGTTTTCATAGTAGAGGTGTTCCATCTCTCTGATCATTTTTGTGGCCTCCTCTGGACCCGCTCCAAACAGGTCCATGTCTTTCCTGTACTGAGGACTCCAGAGATGGATGCAGTACAGTCACAAATGTTCTCATTAGCACTTCCTATAGGAAACTGAAATACATACAGATATGTGAATGGAAGAAAAAGGAGCTATTCTGCTCTTAAAAATCAGTAAATCAGAAAACACTCTGGACCA